CTAAATTTTGTGGATCTTCTTTTCTAAAATTTCTTTTATTAAATTTTTATTCCTTGATTGTGTGTTTATAAGTTTTTGTACATTTGTTTAAATTTTCAATCGATTGATCTCCAGCTTACATAATTTCTAGATTGAATTCAAGGTTTTCCATGTTGTTGCTTATTTTTGTATGCAAGCCAATTATTTTATGAATTAAAAAATCTATATGTAGTATTAAATTGTAGAGTTACACATTCAATGAAATGTATATAATAAAACATGCATTGAATTTCCTTTTGAACAGAAATTCATTAAAAGAGAGTATGAACCTAAACATTTATTACATGTATCTAATGAAAATTTATTAGGCTCCAATAACCATGATAACATGGGGTATAATTAGATGAAGGAGAAACAGTTCTAGTTATACAACTTCTTTTCTTTTCTTTTCTTTTATCTTTTGATAACACTTCCCTAATACCTAAATTTGGCAAGACACATTTAGATTAAGACAATTATATCTCCAATATTTTGTAAATTAAAAATACTAAAATTTCCACAAAACTTATGCCAGCCTTAAAGAAATTAAATTGACAATCTTATATAATAGATTTATATTCAGAGTAACTAAACCGTAAAAATTTGCATAACATTTGAGAAAAAAATACTTTAAATAGACTAGTTAAGTCACTATTGTGTGTTAATACTTTAGACATCATTGGATAACTGTACATTTCTTGTACATTTTTAGTTTTACTTTTACTTTAATATATGTTTTGAAATGACGTCATCAGCATATAAGTGAGGTTAATGCTGTTGATTGCTTTAAAATGGGATTTGTTCAAACTTACACAATTCTACAAAAATGGTAAAACCTGGAAATTTAAATTTGTGAGTGGTTTTTCAAAGCTTCACTGTTTTCATTTAAATCATGGGCAAATTTTTTAAAAGCACGTGGGCAAATTTAAAATGTATTTGATGTTCATGTTATACTGTCTTTCTTATTCATACTCACAGAGATGCATGTGAACAATTTAAATCACACTTTTTTCTAGATATGACTATTCCATTAGACATCTATCACTAGTCTCCACTCACAGACTCCTAAGGAAGGAACCATGTGGAAACATGATGATTCATGATGGATCAAAAACACTCAGCTGGTAAACACTTTATTCTCAAAGTCCCATAGACACTGAGTCCATCCCTCTTCTGTTGAAAGGAACCCTAGGTGGTTTTCCTTTTGGTTAGAATGATTAGTCTGCCTCAGACATGTCTGTGACAGTGTTTCTGGAGGAGTCTGATACGTTATTCAGTGGACTAAGTGGAAGGCACCATCCAGTCAAAAGAAGGCTTAGACAGAACAAAAAAGTAGAGAAAAGTCAACTTTTTACTATTTCCTATTGTCCAGACACCACGCTTCTCTTACTCTGAGGTGTCAGAATTAAGTTTCGTCTGATCTTTGGATTTAGGTCATAAACCAGAAATGTTCATATTTCTTCCAGGTCTTAGTCTAAGAATTACACCTTCAGCTTCCCTGAGTCCCAGGCCTTCACAGGAAAGCTGAGTCAGCCTCCCTTTGCCCTGGTTCTCTGGCTTCCACATAGCTCACGGTGGGACTTTTCATCCTCCACAGTTGAGTAAGCAAATTCTCCCAATAAACTCCTCTCATCTCTTCTCTCCCAACAATTCATGGTCTTTTTGGAGAGCATGCTTAAAACATTGGCTGTCTTCTACACCTCAATTATTTGATTATGGAACTGTGAATAGGTACTGTTTTATGGAGGAAATTTAGCAGTTCCTGTCATTGAAACACAGCAATTTTTCCTCCCAGTCAACATGCCTGGAATTTTAATTGGACATTGATTGTAATAAAAAACAATACTTAAAACTAACTAAATACTCTATCTGCACATAGTCCTGTGTTTGAGAGTAGATGTTATTTGGCTAGGACCATAGACATTGCCATGTCTGCAATGTAGATAATGAAGTATTTTCTGCTGGATTGCATAAAATATAAAATGTTCAAGTGTGGGCATAAATGTTAAGAAGTTTTTGAGCATTGATCCATATTCTGGTTTGCACAAAAGCACAAATAAAATATAACATCATTTAAAAAACACTGAACATATATATTTTACATATATAAACTGTGAAAACTGGGTAAAGATGATAATTTCATTGAGATTATTTTCAAATTCTTTTACATTTCACAAAAATCTATCAATAATAGCAACACCCCAGTTTTCAAAGCAGCATTCTTATTTTGTTTATGTTTGTAACTGCTATATACACTGAGTTAAGGGACCGGTGCCAAAACATTGCATGTGTCCTGTGATGGTCAAATCATAATATTTGCAAATCAACATTAACACTTTTATAAATAACTTTTCTTTTTTCTTTTTATAATGACTTTTAGCTCACTATTGGATTCATTTAATTTTTCTGCATGTATTTACAGATTATTTTATCAATGAATTTTGCTTCAGGATTCAAAATGGTATTATAAAATTTTTATATGGTTACTATACAGTGAAAAGAAATACTTGTCTTATCATTTGTCTCTTAAAGATCAAAGCTTAATTGTTTCATGGACATTAGCATCATCAAGAGTCTGAGAAGAGATGTGTAATCTCCAGACCTTCTCATAAATCTGCACATTCAATAGACCTACACATTCTCATAGACTTTCACTGATCAGAATCTGCCCAATCAGAACTTACTCACTGACAATTTGCTCAACCAGAATCTGCCTTTGTACATAAGCACTGGTTTCATATTTATTTTGGAGTTTGAAGGACACGATTCTAACATAATCCTTTCCTTTGCCTCTACTAATGATTTCATCATTTATAGTTCTTTAAGATTTCTATTACTTTTACTTCAAAAACTGTTTTATACCCTTGATCCAAATCCTTTAATTTTGTTATTTCTTATTTTCCTTCAACTATGTGCTTATGTTTTCTATAGAAAATCTTCTTTAAACATTATGATTTATCTGATATTTTATTCAAAAAGTTGATATTCTTCTAAATTACATTCTTTCTTAATGAGAGCCCCAATATACCAGTGGACCACTGCCATACTGTATAGAACAATAAACTGCTGATCCACAGTCTCTGTCCCATCACTGAGAGATCCAAACAACATCAGCAGTGATTGAACTAGGTGATTCAGAATTTATTTAGTGGCTGAGAGCTTCTCTAAGTTGTTAGTGTGCTTCTTACTCAGAACCAACTAGAGAAAGTGAAATACTCTCTCCAAAATGTCCCAGAGGATAGATACCCTGTGTCTGGGTAGCCCAGTGCCAGATTCCTCGCAACTTCCAGTCAATGCAACCTGAAGTTTGTTTGTTTCTTTGATTTTTACACTTCCCTCTTCTCTGTCTGCCTTTGAGTTTCCATCGAAAATAAGTGGCTAATGCTCTTGCTAGTGCAAGATCTAACTGAACATTTTTTGTCTTACTTTTGCTTATCTGGCTTTTCTCTCCTTTGGGTCACCTTTTGTTTCTTCATTACTGGTTTAATGATATGAATAGAATTTCTTTATCTTGGAAGAAATTCATAAAATGTGATAGAAATAACAATTGAAAGATTACTAGGAGATGCTTTTATTCTTCATACTTTTCTCTCAAAAGAACTCTCACACCAGTATTAAGAATCAGACTAATTTTGTCTGTATGTGGCTAGAAGCATAGGTGCATCAATATAATACTATTTTAAGTACATTTTAGAATTAAGAAGGATGTCTTTTCTTCTCTTTCCTTCAGCATTATCCTTTTCTGTTCATCTTTGAAAATATTTTGTCTTGGTTTATACAGCTGGATTGCTGAATACTAATAAACAAAAATATTTATAATGTGGGGAAAGTCATTTTTTGGAAATTAATTTCAAAATAGTATTCTTCTGCCTCGTATTTGTAGGCAAGCCATTTTCATAGAAAACTGTATCCCAGTACATTTGACAGAGTAAAATAATGCAATTATGGACTGAAATAATAGAAGTAGAAGAAAATGTTATGGCTTTAGATGAGATTTGAAATGGCAGCTCCAGTAATGCAGAAAGATAGATAAAGCCTGCTCCAGATGTCAGTCACTACTGAGAGAGAACTGGGAGCAATGATTCTGTGTGAAGGAACACAGAAGAGATTAATGGATTGGATGTATTTTAAATGCATCACTTTTATTATGCAATTTGAAGCTATGAACCAAATATTGAGAAAAAATAACTTGTCATATCTAAAAATATAGAGTTATTTGAATTCAAATTCAACTGATACTTACTGACAACCTACTTGGTGCCGGATACTCTACTGGCATTTCTGATATATTGTTACTGAGACATGCTAGTGAACTTCTAGTTTAAAATTATAAGAAAATGTAACTATAAGTGAAAGCAAACTCACGAACACAGTGTGTTCAACTGTTATTAGAGTTATATTTACCAAAAGATTAATTATATTTACAGATTTTTAAAATAGCATAGTTTCTGATTATAAACACAATGTGTATTTACAGTAAACATTTACCTGAAACAGAAAAATGTGAAGAATAGTAATAACCTATAATCCCACCACTCATGAAAAACTACTAATAATATTTTTATAAAATCTCCCAGTTTTCTTTAATAAATTTACACATCTAAAATCTGTGTTTCTATCATGACAGAAAGTACTTATGCAGATGCTTATAGTGGGAATATACTATTCATATCATTTAATATTTTTAAATATTACAGTAAATTATTTCACTTAATATGCATTTGATACGTCTAAAATTCTTCCATTTGAAAGAAATGATTTAAGATCACTCTGTAATTGAGTAAACCAGGAACAGAATATGTATAACTGGGCTAACCAAAGCGTCACTTCCCTTTGTGCTGAATTCCACCAGTCTAGTTCCATGAGTTTCCCTCTGTCCTCATTAGCCTATTCTAATCAAGGTATATTGTTTTCTGACCTGCAATTTGTCTTTGCACAATGTTGCCTCTGAAGGGGCCACCATTAAAAGGCTACTCACGTACATTTCAGAAGAGCCAATATTCTCCTAGTGCCTTCATAAATCACAGGCTGTTCCTCAGCTATAGTAGGGCTCCTTTTTCCTTATTTTGTGATTAAAGTGAAACCTCCATATCTTCAAGGTTGTACAGGATACAAGACTCTATGGAAGCTTCTTTTCTAAAGAAAAGTCTTGAGATTTTCATTTTTGTTGTTATTTTTTTAACATGTTTGCAGCATAATATGTTGACATTTATGTTAAGAAGTACATATATTTCCCACATCTTGATTGTTTTTATTCCTCTTCTCCTTACCTACTTACTTTCTCCCCATCTCTAGATCCCTTTAATCATTTTAATTGTTATTGTCATTGTAGTTTTTTAGTTCATGTTTGCAATCTATGGTTACATTCACTGTGAGTATCTGGTACGTGTACAAGATGCTTAAGTCTTTTTATGTATCTTTCTCTTTTCCTTTCCTCCCCACCATCTCCTGATTCCATTTCCATTTGCAAAATATCTATCTCACTGACTCCTTTTATCAATCTTTAACTTTGCTCTTTATTTGTACTTTGGATTACTGAAATAATTGAAGTGATATGGTTAATCTTGTATGTATGTATGTATGTATGATTATATGTATATCTGATTTATTTCATTTAATACTATATTTTCAATGTGTATCCATGTTCCTACAAATATCTCTAATTTAAATTTCTTTATAGCCAAACAGTATTATTCTATTATGTTTAGATACCACATTTTCATTATCTATTCTTTTAATGGAGATCTCAGTTTCATGCTCCTTGTTACTTGGTTTCCTTTCCCTCAGTATATCTTTGAATTCCTTTAGAGGGATCTCTGGTCCCAAGTGTCTGGACATTCAGAATAACACAACTTGTATTTTTTTACCCAATCTTAACATTTCTCCCTCATCCCAGATAAATTGAATCTCCTTAGAGAGTCCTGACTGTACAAGACTTTCTCTATTTCATCTACACCATCATCTTTTGAATCTCTTATACAAGAACCTTATATACAGTAAGTCCCTAACTTACAAATATACTGGATTTTTTCATACCTTTGACAAAAATGTGCAATGTATGTTGCTTTGTGCTTCCTAGAAGTTCCCTTCACATTACCACTGCTTTTCCTTTTCCTTCTGGATATCCTAAGCTTGGACTGTATTACTATACACTATAGCACTATTGATCTTTACATAAACAGTCTCCCTAGTTAACATGTAACATCTAGAAGACAGACTCTATATTTCATATTTATTCAAGCACACAGCAGGGTTTCCTACATAGAAATCTACTAATCAGAATTTCCATTGCCAGGGACTGAAACCCAGAGAAAAGATTTAATAATTTATTTATTCATATGGGAAGGACAGAGGTACAGTTGGCTTTACTTGGTGACTAAAAGAACTGTCTTATGTCCTTTGTTTCTATGGACACGGATCTGTTTTCTGTGGTTGTAGACAAGCTAATGGGCCTTTAGGTGAGGATGGAAGGGTGAGAAAATACTGCCATAGATAACATTTTTCTATGCTTTTATCTTACATTTTTATTGCAAGAAATTTAATTTTGCTTTTCTCATGAAACACAAACTAAAAATCCTGAAAAGAATCCAATGCATACCTGCCATACCTGAATTTATTTCTAAGATGATGAGAGTATAGTGTTATTAACCTTCGCTGTATCATTTGTCTGTGTCAGTGGTCAAAAAGTAAAAACCTATAGTTCACACCTTCCAACAAAATCATGTATTTCCTTAAAGTCAAAATGTTGCTAAAGTAGAATGTTGAAATGTTTCTCACTTGTAAGACAATGATTATCAAGTTTGACTATAAAAATATTATTACTATTAATTATTAGTAAATTTTTGTACCTTTTCATAATGTTAAATGTCATTAAAAATCCTTCCAAAGAGGAATAAAAGCCATTACCATTTCTTCCATCCTTATTGTACCATAGGAGAGATTTATGCAGGTTTCTTTAAAGAAGATCTTCAGATTATGAGAATACCTCTGCCTTCAGCAAACAAGATGAAAAACTGAAAGAAAAACATTCAAAGACAATGGTAAGCATGGCTTTTAAAAAGAAGTATTATGTAAAAGAAGACACCGTAGTTATTAGTTGTAAGTTAGCTATGAAACGGATTACTCACTGAAAATACATAAAATAGTATCTATGAACTACTAATTATTTTTAACAAAATTTCTCTATGATATTTTTAGTATACTGTAGTTGATAATTAACTGTGCAACCTCTATCATAGAAGACAATACGTAAATAAAACTGAGATAAAATTAATATTTCTTTGAAAATTTGTGTTAGTCAGCTTTCTATCAATGTGACCAAATACCTGAGAAAAAACTTAAAGGAGGAAAGATTTCTTGTGCCTCAGGGATTGAGTGGCTTCAGTCTGTAGTGGGCTGGTTCCTTTGCTAGAGGACTGGAGTGAGGCAGAACATCATGCCAGAAGGGTGTGGTGAATGAAATCTGTTCACATCGTGGCCAAGAATGAAAGGAAAAAGGAAAGGGCTGGAGATGACAGAGCTGGACAACAATATTGTCTGTAATGTCTTGTTCAATTATCCAATCCCTTTAATGAGTCCACTTCTTTTTCCATCACTTTCCATGAATGTCATCAATTTGTATCATTGGAGCCTTCTATCCATTCATTTATCCAAAGCTAATCAACTTAGTCTTCGACACAATGAGCCTTTTGATGGTATTGTAGTCAGGGTTTTGGCAAGAGAATACATTTACTACAGGACACATAGTTTATAGGATTATTTTATAATTACCCAAAAACTCAAATGAAAAGGAGTGCAAGAGATTAACCGCACACTAGGGGCCCAAAGAATCCAACCAAGGGCCTGGATCCCAGCAATGTCCCACACAAGTCCAGCCAAAGGCCTAGAGTTCAAGGCAATGTCCTCCATGAGTCCAGACTGTGGCCTAGAGCCCACAGCAATGTCTGTTTGTCCACATTGGGGATCTGCACCTGGAAGGCCCAAAGGCCAGTGATGAAAGCCAGAAAACCTACACTGGTGAGATGAAGGATTTGTGCTACCAAGCTGAGGGATCCACACTGGAGCCAGGAAGGGATGCTCACGGTGAAGATCAGAGCTCCCCTGAAGAAAACAGAAGCCATTCCCAGTGACAGATCCCAAGCTCCTCCTCCAATGAGAACAGCATAGTTGGTATCAGAAAAACCATCTGCAGGAAGCTTCTCCTAGAAAATCAACAGGCCAATTATCTTCCCTTCTAGTTCTCTTTTTATGGCTATTGGTAACAATCCTCAGGGGATCGATCCTCTAAGGCCAGACCATGCTGATTCAGTTCAGCTGGGCATTACAAGTTGACCATTAGTCAATCCACCACAGGTGGTCACTTTGGATGTCAACTATAACAGTCCTCAAACATAAAATTTTTTAGAAGTTTCAAGGTCAGAGGAGAAAGCTGACTCCCAACCTCAGTGGAATGCTTGAGCCCAAAGGCTGGTCCTTGATCAATTTTACAAGTGTAGATTCCATGCCTTGGGTCAGACCCAGTCATCTTGGATCTGGCTATGTATTGTTTTCCCTCTGCACGGGACACCAGAAGAGTCAGCTAAGCAAATAACTGTTCTTGGACCAGGAAAAAGTCTGGAATAGGGGATTCAACCTGGCTGACTATGGGAGGAGTCATATGATAGAAATTGAGGAAAGACCAGAGTAGAGGAGGAGACATGTTAGAAAGATTCAGAGAACAACAACAAGAAACACAGGGAGAAAAATCTATCCTAAAAGAAAAGAGACATAAGAGATGGATTTGCCAAACAAAAATGTGGTGAGCATGTCTGAATTCCAATTTGAAGATTCGAATCCAAAGAATACTATTCTGAGACAACTGTAGGACATTCCACAAGGAAGAGAGAATCAAGTGGGGACTGAGAGAATCAGTGGCAGTTGGAACCTGAAAGGAAAACATGGGATACTGCTCCCAGAGTGGCCTTCCACAGTAAACAATTGGTGATTGAATTCATTCCAGCACCTGCCACCACAATTGGGGAACAAGAGCTGACAAGGACACAATTGTAGGGAAGGACTCTGCATTTGAATCTGGGTCCCAGAGCAGTCCCTTGGATCCAAGCCATACTCCACACTGCCAAGTTCCTGGAGTGGATGATGGAAGGGTAGCCAGGGAGACCGCTGGTGGTTGGAGAGAAGGCTGGAGGGAGTCCTGCTGAGGGGCTGGAACTGGTGAACATGGACCTAGCTCATGAAATCGGAGGCCAGGGTCAGCCTGACTTACACAGTGTAGGAATGTCGCATTGGTGTCCTGTCCCTATCTTTATGCAGATATCTGCATCCAGCACTGCCTTGGGGGTGGACTGCTACCTTAGATTTCCAGAGTGAACAGTTACACCTTGGCTTCAGCTTTTATTTATTGCTAGACTGTAGAGAAATGCCACATGTCCAAAACAATACAAAATTTTCTTTTTATTTTTTTAATTTTTTGTGTGTGATTTTCTTCTTTGGGTTCATTTCCTCCTATTTTTATTCCACTATTTGCTCCTTTTTTCTCTTTTAAGAATGTGTGTGAGTGTGTAAGTTTGTTTCTCTTCCGCTTGCCCTTTTCTTCCAATATAGTACAGAGAGGGTGAGGAAATTTTTCCTTTGTCACTTTTTATTCCTTCTACTTTTATCCATACCTTTTGACCTTACTTCTTTCTCCTGTTTCTTATTCTTCCTTTATGTTGCTTTTCCTTCTTCTCCCCCATCTTCATTTGTCTCATTTTAACTTTCTCTCATTAGCTATAGAATCATGCCTTCTCCTCAATTCTCACTACTGATTTTATATTCAATTTTCCGTTATCCCACCTAAATAGAACATACTTCTACCACCCTTAGAATCCTTTACTCCTCCCCTCCTATTTCCTCTTTCCCATACCACATAGCAGGAGAATTTAAAACACGTTTTAAAATTTTCTTTCCCCTCGTCTGGCATTACCCAGTCCCCAACCCTCTGGGCTTTAGAGAACTGATTCTACAAAATTACTGTTGAATGCTTTTTTTTTTTTTAACCATAAGAGGATACATAGCTAACACATTTAGTGCATATTAGCTGTGTGTCAATACTTGGGCTGTTGTGATGCTTACATTATAACTGTAGATTTCTTCTCTAGCCTAACAGGAGATTCAAATGTGGGTCTCTTGGTATGTTCTCAACTTGCCCCAATAGATACCACTGTAACTGATTATATTGTTACTACTGTAGCTTATTTGATTGCTTAAGAATACTCTTCACTAAGTGGACAATTTCATGCCAGTGAATAAGTCTGGATGTTCCACCATCTCACCCAGGAAGAGGAACAGAAAGAGCTCCTAACCCAAGAACTCAGAATGGATCAGACTCTGCAAGAATCCCTGCAACTTGTGCATACTGGTGGAAAGAAACCCTGAGTGTGAGTTAGCTTCAGTAGTGCAGTGGAAGATTCAGAGAAGTTATTGGGGTGTGAGCACTCAGATTCTCTGTCAAAGAAACAACACATGAAGCACATATACACTGTCTCATTGGAATATTTAATCTGTGTTTCCATCAGGTATCTTATAGGTTTGAGTTTTTGTTTGTCTCACAATTTTTTTAGTAGTATAGGGGTATGTTATATTCCTTTATGGATTTTTTGTTAGGTTTTAATTTCTGTGTATTATTTTCTTCTATTGGCTCTGATTTAATTGATTTCTAGGTTCTTTTCATCTCATCTTCCTATAGAGCTTCTTCATCTCAAACCCCCAAACCAATACCATTACCATATTTCTTTTTTCTTTTTCCAAATACATAATCTCTTCCTCCTAAATTTATAATTTCTCATACTTAGCTCCTCCACGATAGCTCCTTTCTTCCCTAGTATTGACCCTCAATCCTCCCCATCCCATCCTAAGCCTTTGGCTTTCCCATATCTTACCTAAACTATTGTCCTCTCTATCATCAGAGTCTGACAACCACATAGCTTCCCTCATTCACAGAGTAACCCTCTTGCTTCCCCTACCCTGCACTTACCCCCACAAATATCTCTGAAAACTCTCAATACTAAACTTTCAACTCAATGCACATTCCTCATCCAATCACCTTCCATTGTCCTCCCTCCATTTTAACTATCTCATTGCAGAGCAATCACAAATCATAAAATGACATAATGTGGATAGAGGATGGACAAAGGGAGGAAGTGTAAATGCAAGGACTATCATATATAAGTGTTGGATGATTATATCTGTTGATGTTCTTATAACTAGAAATAATTCTTTCAGCAAACCATGGGAACAGAGTCCAAATCACTTAAAGTAAATAACAGAAGAAGTAAATAGTTACCCTGGATATATAAAGCTGAAAATTATATATGGGAGGCAACATCCTACTAAAAACGTCCATATAAACAAAAAATTGTCCTCATTTTTTAGTCCTCAACTTTCATATATATATATATA